AGCAGCATTTCCGTCTCTCTAAATGGGGTTCATGCAAACCAGACGTACACAAGACGGTGGTTGGACTGCCAGACCGCTCCAGATTGAATGGAACCCCTGTACGAGCCTGGTAATCACAAAAGGACCATGAACAACGTCTGCCAAAGTAATGCCTATCTGTCGACTTCAGCCAGTATAATCGACCTAGCGGTTATTATACAAGTAGACAACACGTGAATATTTCAATCCAATGCAGCCACACAAAGGAAATCAAGCAAAGAACACAACTTGAGAATATCCGTAGTTCCGGGTGTGGACGAGAGCATGGTCCTGTTCTCCGAGCCAGACATTTCCGTTGCAGGCGTTTCGTTACCAAACTAGGCAACATGTTCAGTGCGGCTATTCAGTGTTGATTCGCGGAGTCTTGCAAGCCAATGCCAGATCCGAATGACTATTGATTGTTACCTGCTTCGAAAGTCCGTCTTCGATTGGTTCACTTGAGTCGGTCGAGTGAGCACTCTTCTCCTTGTCAATCTGATGCGTATTGCTGGCTTTACCTGCAAAGCTTCGTAGACACCCTACAGCTCCAGGTGCTTGTTGATTAAGTACTCGCCGGAATGTCAGGCCTCAAGGAAGTCACGCGCTCTACGGTTTCTTGCTCTTCTAAGTATTTAAACTTTCTCCAGATTGGAATGATGGTCCTCGGCGTCGGTCATTCTCACGTGCGAAAACGTCTCGGTGATACATATACCATCATATGACCCGAAAGCTTAGCGGTCTTTCAGTTCGAACAGGATATAAAAAAGATTCTGTGCATTCGTAAATAAGCAGACCAGTTTCTCGGTTTCTAGGAGCCGACAGAGAGCTAAAGGGGTTAACTGTGGGATAATGCCAAGCGATAGGAGGTCGACAGTTTGTCATGTTTGTGGGATAATCATACCTCGTCTGAAAGTTGATCTGGCTAAGCTCCGTCCCTATCTTCGTTTAGACCTATGTCAGAGTCAAACAATGCAACAGGCAAGTTATGATTCTGTACATTCCTTGTAAGCTAGCTGCTTCAGGTGCTTGGATATTTGACGTTGCAAAGCATCTGCGACGTTACACCGACGTTCCGAAAGAAAATGTGCCGGTTATTCCATCATCAAGCCAAAATATCCGTTGCTTTTACTCCGACTGAACTACAATTTCAGGATTCTAGTATTGCATACTCCATTATTTGGTAAGTGTGATATCCTTGTGAGCAATGACGACACTATAATATCCAAAGAAAGTGTTTCAAGGATGAACCGTCAATGTACTTAATCATGCTTGCCGGTCTCTTGAACATCGTTAAGTAGATGTCCTGGCATACCATGTAGGAAGCTTGTGTTTAGACGGTTTTGCTTGACGTGTCACTCTTCTGTGTTTATTTTTGTTTGTCGTGTGCACCAAGAAACATCAGGATACATGCGTATGCCACAGGGTCCCTGTCTTAACGCGTTTTCGGAGAGCAAAATGTTTTCTACATCGGTGGAGGATTCTAATGTTACTCTGACAACGCTGGGTTCCCCATAGTGTGGCAAGTTCGGATGATGTTTCATTCGTAATAGGCTTATATGCTAAACCACAAATGCGGCCTCTCGGCTCACCTTTGCAGCAATCGCTGTATATGTAATTGAGGTTCCGTGGGTATTTGTTTCAGCAAGCGATATTTAAGATACAGGTACCGAGGGTTAATGTTCGGCTGTTTCCTCCTAATTAATGCTAGGTGTCAGATCACGTGGAAGTTGCTTAACCAGTCGTTTTGATTGATGACTGATTCGCGCTGTCATGAGTACTGTTTTGGTCTCGAAGGAAGGGTCTGTTATCGCCCGGCATTTTACCAAATTTGGAGAAGACCACCGTGATTGGGAGGTGGCTGATTGCGGTTCAAGGGAATCGGATTGTGCGGCATTATGTTGCTAAGCGGGCGCTACGCTTCCCTGGCGGATCCTCGCTTCTGTTAAATTATTTTATCCTTTGTCCTCTGCCCGTCATCTGAGGTCAGCCGGCAGCGCTTCTTAACTAGGAAAAGCATGCACTTAACTTGTAGGATTCGCGAGCAGGCAGAAGAGAACCAAAGCTCATCTTAGGAGCCATTACAATTTCGCACCTGTCGTTGGGACCCATTTGCACAACTCGGATGATACCATTGCAAACAGCGCGAGCAGGCCAAAACTATAATCGCTGACATTTTGCCAACGCGTAAATGTCTTTTGCGTGGAGACTTTTGCATTCGCATTGTTGATATACAAAGTGCTGTCCTTACTGGACCTAGTGAGTCGGTTGCCGACCTGTTATTTTCCAGCGTTGAGTGCGGCGCACATCCGTGAGACGGACGTAGTGGTTGCAAGGTCAGATGAGCGGTCGACATAGTCGCGCAGTCCGTGCGATGGGTTGTGCAGGCGCACTGGCTGACGAGGTCAGTACAAAAGACGAGCGACGGGAACCTGCTAACTGAATATGAACACAGCGCTAAACACAGATTGAAAGATCAAAATATTTTGCACATTTGCTTTGCGAAACGCCGGATTGGAATAAGCTTGGGATTTTCGGATTGCTTAGAAAATTATGTATCTTATGGTGCACACAGAAAGGCAATCGCCTCAATGTGATTGTAATTCGCTAGCGCTTCTCACGGATGCTACTGAAACCGGTTAGTGGTGGCACGGTGTTTATTCGTGGTAGATGAGTACATGTATGAAGTACCACTGTGTAGGGCGTGTGAATCCGGTTCGAATGAGGGTACAGTGACAATGCTGCTTCAGTGAAGACACTGCTTAATCTCTTAGTTCACATAAGCTGGGGACTGGAAGGTTTACCGTAGAGTGACGAAAAAAAGCTATAACGAGTCCGATATCGATAGCATTCAGCTAAAGAGGTTTCAGCGCCATCTTACATTACATTTTTTGTTATCTTCGTCCTTCGCCAAAATTATTGGACATTTAGCACCAACGGAATTTATCGCGAAACCGGTGCCTGTCAGTTGTAATCAACAACCCTATTATGAGGCACTGGTCAAACTGGAACATGGGTTAGTGCGTTTGTTCACTTGCAAGAACTCATTCGTGCAGTGCACTTGCAAATATCACGTCGTAGGTGCAAGAGCAGCTGCCGTTTCCTGTACCTGTATCGTTGAACACATTAGAGAAGCTTATGATCGTTTACACTGCTTTTTTAAACCGACGCGACATATAAATGATTGTTTGCAAGTTAATAAATCACCTTTCGTCAGCTGATGAGTTTTGCACAGTTTAGTTTTAAGCCGCTTTCCGATTGTGTGCGAACCCTCCCTCTGGATCTCATGACGAAATCGTTGCTAAACCAGGCGAACTGATGCGGAGTTCATACAAGTCAATGCATTTCTAAGACTCAACTGACTATTGCTATTATCGGTTAGTCATGCAATCGTATGAAACACTATCCAGTACAAGTGCAAAGAGGTGCAGAGGTTTCGCCTTAATGTCCCTTATGTGTGGACTTCCATCGAATTTGACGTTGGATACATCAAAACGAAGAGCAAGACGCATCTCACATAAGGTCAAGTCTAAAAATTTGGCCCAGTACCCATACTGAAAACCATTTGTTGAATACACACAACTGGCTTATACCTTGGTAATTTTTGTAAAAGAGAGGACAGGTTAGTGTGGGTAATAGTTTAGAACGATGGGAAACGGAGGGTAAGGATTGCAAAATTCGGGTAGTACCAATGCCATTGTGGTGCGGAAATTTTCTGGTTGTCTAAGGTTTGTAGCGATAGAAATTCTTTTTGACACCGTAAGCAAATACCGTCGATAAAATATATAAGCCTGCTAACACAGGTACGGAATAAATTAACTTATAACAGTATATTACTATTATTAATTCCCAGTATACAGCAGTTCGTTGCTGGCATCTAGAGATTACGTGTTTAATTTTTGAAGTAGGTTCACGTCTATCTGACAAATACCTTATAACTAGTTTCCATCCGTCCCGGCGTTGCACAAGCTATTTTCCGATGTTTAATGTTTTTTAATCTCACAAAACCTGAGTAAACATTCTGAGGCATTTGTGTTTCAGCGACCAATCCACCTTCTGTATTTGTTTAAATCCCCACATTTAACATATCTACAACTTTGTTCGAATTTGTCGACACACACCAGTCTATAAATCTTGAGTACCAATTGTTACACGACCACATATCGAATCGTATTCTATTTTGAAATCTCTGGTTACTTTGTACTTCTCGTAACATTGTTGTCATAAATTCGAATGGGTGCAACGTGTGTGTCAACACTGGATCGCTCTTCCCACGTAGGTTGTTACTTCCTCCGAGCTAAAGACATTCAAAAGACGTCTGGATGATTCGCTTATCCACTTACATTACGCTATATAATCAGTGATGTCTACGTCAACCAAACGCTAACAAACGGTGCTCATTCTCTGCTTCTGTGCTTCAATACTTACACACTGCTATTGTGGAATATAGTTTCGGATATATTCTAACTGCATTAATCAATTACCCCAGTCCAAGAAAGCGGCGAACGGGTAAGCGTTGTGGTTTCTTTTGTTCTTAAGACATACGTTCTCCATGTTGCCTCCCCATATTACTCTACAGTAAAAATTCCACACACAATCTAATATGTATATATGAATAAGGGGCACCTGAATTGCTAGACGCTTAATTTGACGATTTACACTTATGTTTACTTTCCCTTCAAGCATCCTACGGGACATGTAAAGCAATCGTTCTTTTACCTGTAATATATCATTGTTCATTGTCCAACATAAAAGTTACTTAGATTTTTCCATAGACATCAGGTTCTCCAATTAGGCTGCTAGTTGAATGATACAAACAAAAAGCATAAGATTTCACTTAATGATTTACTTTAAAAATCCGAAATTACATCAATGATGAACTAATAATCATATCAGCATTATGTTCCTTTTTTATATGGAATTTCGTGCGGATGTTGGTGTGCTATAAAACGTAAAACAGCAAATATGGAGCAACACCGTCCAAGTTATTCTTCGGGAATTTTCTTGTAATCCATAGTCAATGCTACGTTGGCAGTACAGGTCTCCGAACGATCTATATTCAGTCTCTCCATCATCTGAGCCATTAGATTCAGCACACTCTCATTCCGTGGAGCTGTCTCGATGAATATGCGTTGTGGATCTTCTATAGCGGGTCTTTCACAACTGACCATTGGTATGCCCGTTCGCTTTTGTATCTGTTAAATCGAGAGTGCGGATTGTACGGTTAACTGTGGCCGACTCTATTACATAACCATTAGTCGGGAAATAATTGCGCCATTCGAAATAGACAAATGCATATTTTGGTTGCCCATATCTGTCGCTTACCACTGAGCAGATCTCCTCTTTAGTTGCATTCCGCTTGGGCAATCGGTTTAAGTAGATAACGAAAGCTGAAATTAGACAAAAGCTTTTTACATTTTATTGAAAACGCATTCGACGTAGTAAATAATAGCACGGAATGTGTCACTACAATTTGGGAGAGATATTTCACCCATGGATGTATTACAGTTGCTGGCTGACGCATACATAATTTGCACAGCCTGCCTAGATAGATAATTAGCAAAAGGAAAATTAATTAAACCTAAATAGGTGATGCTAAAATTTTGACGAACTTCAAGCCGAAACAACCGTTTTGAGACAAGGTTGCGTCTAGCTGTTTGATTGGCTTGGCGCCGATTTGAATCTGTGCTTGTTTTGACGCAGATTATTTGCAATGACTGTTGTAAGTAGATCTCGTCCAATCGAGGCCGAATTTGGAATGCCGCAATATTGTGGTAAATGTTTTAATAAACGATTTCCCACTTAAACGTCATATCTAGTAGAAACCGTCGCATCGCAGTGAGGCGGCGTATGTATATGATTACAAATCGGAGAAGAACAAAGTGAAACATAGCCGCTTCGTTCACACTGCGTACCTAAGCACACACACGCATAAAAACGCATTTCCCACGATTTATTTTGACCTAGCAAAGTTTGCTTTCACGCTGTGCAGAGAAGCAGGAATGCTTTTTTTAACCTTGGTTTGTTTCGTGTTCACGTTCGTTCAATATTTTTATTTTCAGAGCCATGTCTCATGGAAAACGGCATCATTTGTTAAGTGTTTCCTATCGTCCACCATGTTAATATTAGTTATTGCTCAGTAAATATGCTCATTATATGTAATTACTTAACGACGTTAGAATTATTTGTGTACTTTTGTTACTACTGAGAAGAGAATAGTTGACGGTGAATAATAGTCATAAATGGTGTATATAAATGTTCTACCGTGGCCCAAACCGCTAGAAACGTGAACACATGAGGATGGAAGTACTGTGCCGCATAAAACTTTTTCATGATTTTATACACATCTTCTTTTACTAATACTACCATCTATTATTTTTCTTGTTTATTTGTTTTGCTTCCTTATCTTTACTTAAGAGTTAACATGATGAGAATTGAGAAATAAATAGATACACGTTTGATTTAATCACATTTTATCTAACGCAGACAATAGGTGAAGTGTTGCAGCGTTATTAAATATATGTGGTTTAGTTATCAGTTGGGGATGATTCAGATGATGGAAGCTTTTGTAGCTCCAGAACTGCTCTGCTTCTTGGTGAAAGTGATAACGTATATACACGTAGCGAAGGTGAAGAAGGAATCCCCCACTAATGCAAACAGTTATGCTAGCAAACTATAAGCACAGCTAGTTTGAAGTCAAACAAAGGTAGCATCAAATGTCGAGCTCGCAAAAATGGATTTATTCCAGGCCACAGTAGTTACCCGTAAGATATCAGTTAATGCGACGGCTTCACATTCCCATCAAAATACCTTCTACAATACTTTAGACAGAAATTTGCTGACAAGTCATCCGAGTAGACACATACTTATCATTTCGTATTGTCTCTTCAGTGCCAACACAATAACATGAAAATATATAAGACGACAGATAGGGTGAGACCGGAACAAGTTAGAACAGGGTAGAGGGGCAGGCGTGACACCCCTACGCCCAGGGCAGCCGTAGGCTTACGAACAGCTGTTTCTGCACACAGAGTGCGGGTTTGATACGGCTGATCGCGACTGCCTGTGCAAAACGTAGGAAACGGGTGTTAGCATGTCTTAACACGATTGTCAACATTGTGGCCGGATCAAACTGGTGACAGGTGGCCAGTAAATGCCTACCTATGGATGAAGCAGGTGTAGGGGTGTCACGCCTACCCCTCTACCCTGTTCTAACTTGTTCCGGTCTCACCCCATCTGTCGTCTTATATATTTTCATGTTATTGTGTTGGCACTGAAGAGACAATACGAAATGTTGACATCTGCCAGTGTTCGTCTTCTTACTGCATTATTCAAATTACTAAAGGGATCTAATTGTTTCAAACATACTTATCACACGAATAAGCATTACCACGACGGACTGCGCATGATTTCGGGCGGTCATGCGAAGCTTCAAAAGTTGGAGCAAAGATATTGCCACTCGCCTCTCTGTCTCAATCTAATGACCAACGCTAGGGTACGGCTCACTTGCACACACTCCATCTACCGTAGCGAGTCAGAAAATATTAAGTGGGTATAGCAGATGGCCACCAAGTTCATCTCTACTTTACAAGATGAGTCCTTCGAAGACCGGTGCAAGAGACTAGAGATTTACACCCTGTCTTATCTTCGATCACGAGTTAAACTGATCATGACGTACCGGCTATTAGATTTCAGTGGTTATTTCATGGTGTGAGCGCTGCTCTATATGCACACAACAAGCAGCTCCCGAGGACCCCGGTACACCTTTCTCGTACCGGATTTGAAGCGGGTCGCCCAGTGATTCTGTTTCGAACGGAGAATTGTGAGTATATGGAAGAACCTGCTTCCTTCGCGTAGTCGAGATAAAGTAAATATTGGAGTTGGAAAATCTCAGACAACCGCTTTGCTGATATGAAATATCACAAACACTCTCCAGTAAGATATCGTTTTGTGTCAACACGTTATTAGATGGAGCTGCACAGAGACAGCTTTTTTTGCTGCTTCCGTCCAGTATTGAGCATGAATAAACTCATAATCCCGTGGAAACTTGCATGGTTCAAGCATATGTCCCTAGGATATCCGCCAACAATCCAAGTTAAAGACGTTAGTTCCTTTCAGAAATTTGAAAAGCATGGTAAGAATACGAAAGCTGGTAGATGCATGCATTTCGTATTGTCTCCTCAGTGTCATTAACAATAACCGATATACAACTATTTCCTTAACAGTGGGTGTGACCGAATAATAATGAGGTGCAAAAGGAATGACGGATGTCCTACCCCTATGTTCACAGCAGTCTTAAGCTGACAACACAGGTTGGACTTCATCCGGCTTATAGCGACGACCGCGGCAAAACTGAGGAAGCGGGGATTAGGGTGAGGTAACACAGCTGTGAACGTTGATTCAAGCTCTATCCGGTGACGCGTGCTCAGTAGGTGTTTATCTACTGAGAAGTTGACCGCCTGCGCAAACATGATACTTCAGTGGGACAGAGATGCTGGTCGTTTTTACGTTGAATCCATCTTGGCATGTGTTCCTTTATTCGGGGAGTCAATGACCGATTTGTTCTCTTTATTTAACTGGCTCCGCAGTTGCACACGAAAATGTATATGCAGCATGAGTTAGCCCCAATCGGTTGAGCTTACTTCGTTGTAGGCACCGGCAAGTTACGAATTCTATTCATGACCACAACCTGAGCAGCACAGCAAATACTTTGCGTAGTAGAGATTCAACGTTCCGTGGTGCTCGACACAGTAAACCCACATGTATAATGGATCCATCAGGCGCTGTGGTCGCAGAGTTCTTCAAGCTGATGAGAGAAACAGGCATCTCAACATAAATAGCCAAGAGAGCATACTATATCCGTTATGTGGATGACATATTGGTCTTTTGTTCCTTGGAGCAGCAGACTGTCCAGTTGGTGCATCTAGTTGTCTGTGCACATGCCAAATTGTGGGTCATCTGCCCAGTGAAACATAAGAAAAGTATGCCCTTCTGGGACATCTTTATCAGTGGCAGTGATGACTGGCTAATTAAGAGGTCTGTCTACAGAAATACGACGTAGTCCTGTCAATACCTGCATTTGGTCAGTGTCACACCAGTGTGTCACAAGTGAACCCTTGTGAAACATTTAATTAGTCGTGCTAGACGAATTTGTTCGGCTAATCGTCCGGCCAATTAGTCAGAGGTAAGAACAACAACAGTCCTCGCGCATGGTTATGCTCGTACACTTATTATGAAACGCAGCCTACACTGGGGTCAGAAAGAAATGGTGCATACGGCAGATAAGAAAAAGTTCTATATTGTGCTGTCTATCAAGCGCGGGTACACATTGGGTATCAAACAACCAACATAAAAGTTTAATAAAAATAGGTGCGCAAAACTGACACGGATTATGCAGCAGCATAATAGGACCGAGCAAACCAAGTCAAGTAGAGTACCTTTTACCCAGATCAAGACGAGCTACCTTACTTGTAAGTCGGTTTAACCTAATAACCTTGAAATGGTAGTGCACGCGATATCTACCTCAGCTATGATTGCACGAATATTTTAACATCACATATATGCATAAATTGCATTCCTGTTTGTCTTCGTTCATTTGTTGTTCCTTTTCCTGAAGCATACAAGTCGCAGTCCATTCACTGTAGTCGGAATCGTTTCCTAGCGTCTTTTGAAAACCATTTTTTAAACATTAGACATTTATGTATATTTCTATTACCTTACCCACCAGCAACGCTTATAATGGAGTTCGTTGGTATTTGGACCAGAAGGATCGTTCAGTACTATCATATCCACCTTTTCGTTGATCATTTCAGGATATTCCTTGCAAAATTACCTTTATTTTATTCGCTTATCTATTTGCGGACCGGCCACATCTCTTCATTAAAAAGTTCAAGAAGGATATACCCCGAATTAGCAAGTATCAATGTTATACACACCCAATGATTGCCTGCAAATCTTGTATGACGACGAATATTGTCATTAATTACTCAATAAATGTACTCACAAAGGATGGGATTTGTCACCGCCCAACTCTTTAACCGTACAATCAAAAGGGTTTACTGTAAACACCGCGTAAGTATCAGCTGCCTCAGCCCCAAGATACAATGATTTCACCGCAAAATCTGTTAAGGAATTTCAAAGCATCACGTTAATAAAATTCCAATCCAATCACTACAGCTCTAGATTTTCACCATCTATTCTTCCGTTAAAACAACCACACATGCGAGCTTCAGTCCAATGATCCCTTTCCAGACTTAAAGGGCAACAGCCGAACCGAATACCCAAGCGTTTTGCAACTTATTGTATAATCTTCAGCATGTCTTACACTTGGTCGGTTCTAGGATGTTTCCAGTTTTATTACATGTTTGTGAGGGCTTCTGATTATATCATTATTTCTCCTATGTAGTTCAGATACTTCAGAAAGAAACAGGACACTCAATTATTGGAATAAAGGCAAGTCATTTTGAGGAACATTTTTCTCACTAATACCTTCTTCTGCCATTTCTCCTCCTCTATGCTTGCCAGTTTTCGTCGATACTTGCTTATCTTGTTTCCAACGGTCTCTAAATACCTGTAAAATTATGCGTGCACGCAGAGGTGGGCTTCGCTGTTTTGGTTCATCTTCTCTCTCTCTCCCTCTCTACATATATATATATATATATATATATATATATATATATATATATATGAATAGAACTGTGTTGCAATGCACACTGCTACTCTAGTAGATAAGGATTCAGAAAATTCTGTCATATTTATGAAAGTATGGATAGTCTAATAACGCTTGAAGATCAGATATTGTTTTGAATGTCAAGCTATGCAATTTGATAGTAAACGTTTAATGGTCAGATGAGGTGTTATTAGCATTGTAGTACAGTTGGAAGTTTTGTTTTATTAGCTGGCATAACGCTATTTGTGGTTGAACTTCCCCATCAATCGCTCTGTGGATTTTGCTATTTTTGGTAAATACAACTCTATTTTGTGTCCTCCATGATTGAATATTGAACCCAACGGCTGGCGTTACCCAGAGTGCTAACTTGAAACCGTTGCACTTGGTGTGCTATGTACAATTTCCATGTCACTGCTTTACAACCTTGAATTTTCATGTGCAAATTCCACAAATAAAAAGCTCATTCATACAGGCCGTTTTGTTATTTTGACCTTAATTATATGCAAAGAAATGAGAAACTGCAATTTATTCGCACCGCCCATGTTTTCATTACACACTGCCAAATTTTGCGTAGACAATTTAAATAAATTCCTTGGTGCTATCACTTCAGAGGCGTGCATTGTCCATCTGTTCACTGCCAATAAAACTGGATGCAATAGTCACTTCTCAGTTGCCCATCCATATGACTGCACAGATATCTCTTTCTGTTGTGTAAGCCTCAACAGCAATTCCCTACCGATTTTGTGACAAGTGGCATCTACCAAAGTAGGAACGTGGAACCGATAAACCACCAACTGAAGAACATGTAATTTACGATTAATAATAGTCTACACAAAGAACCAAGCATAAAGTGGTGGCGATCATCAATTGTCTTGTGCTACTATATGACAAGAAGCCTCCGACTCTCATGCACGTTTACGTCACCTCTACTGATGAGAAAATTTGTCAACCAGGTTGTCTAGCTCGACCAGCGACGCAACAATGCACTATTGCGAGAATTTCAAGCATTGCTGTTAATGACGCGATAGGAAAAGCGGCAGAGGTTTCGGCTACTATTCCAAGGTTCACGGGTTCGAGGTTTGCTAACTGCACTTGATGAGATGAAATGAGACCGAAACTCTGTGTGGTATACAAGCTTTTCGGATAGGTAACTCTACATTTCCATCTATTTCAGTTTATTTTAAACCATTTCAGAAAGCTAACATTCGGAACTAATCGCTGTAAACTCACGGTATCCACCATTTGGCCCAGTAACTGGCTCTGTAATGGGAAACAGAAGGCTATGATGACAAACATTTTATCAGAAAGTATGGAATTTTAGATTAAATCTGTGTAACAGCGCTTTTGTAAACCTACGGCATTGCACGTGGTAGCCACAACTGGCGGACTACGTCATAAAGATAGGTCAAACTTTCCGGGATGCAGATTCAATACCATGACACGTCAGGGTAAATATATATGAACGACTCCAATTATTTTCATTACTCTGATGAACACGATTTAACTAACGGAATTTCTGTCTATAAGTTGGCATACCATATGGTCTAACTAAACAAAAACGTTGGATTGATATTGCAGCGTCCAACACTGTACTACACGACAGGTGAACGGTTACTTGAACACTTTAACCGGGAATGATCATCGCTGGAACATGACAAAGCAATTCCATTATACTCAACTCATTTTGCTGGTTGTATTCTTTGCAGAATTACAAGAAGAAGCTAAACGTTGTTGTCTTTCTTAATTCAATAACAGTTTGCGGGAAAAATATAATATCAGCCTGGCAATTCAAAGTAGGCTTATCCTGAACTAAGTTCTAATAATTCCAGTTCGCTGCTGGCATTGATTTGACTACATTTACGCTCTCATTAAATCACAGACCCCAGCGCATCAAGAAATGCTAGTGGAATTACTAAAGATGAACTCAGACATTTGTGGCGCAACCAACGTAGTAACAGTTTTAACTACTCCTGCTTTTAAGGTATAACCATCAAGAACTTGGCAGGACAATTCGAACATGGCTTCAAAGCAGCTGCGTGATACTGACGTATAAATAATCTATTTTAAAGACCACTGGAAACGTTTGTAAAACAACTAGCTGCTTTCATGTTGCCCTTTCGGATCCTGCTTCCTACGACTCCGAGAATCCACTTAGCTTCTTGACATAAGGCATGGGATTTAGCAGTTGGCTCTCTGTGGTGAAAGTTGACCCTCACTACCCGTCCCCAGGCATACTAATACCTAGTTAGTCGGGTTGACCAGCGTTCGGGGTTCTACAGACAAAATGAAAGCGCTATTGAGGTCCTTGTAACATAGACTGCAGCACTGTGGTGTTGTAATCACGCTTAAATTTTTAGGTCTTTCGCAAAACGGGCACACGCCGACCGCAGAAGCTGAGATAAATCGTTGATGTAATTGAGGAACAGAGTGGGCTCCCAAACCCATACTTGGGCTACGACCCTGGTAGAGGGACATATACACATTAGCTACAGGTGGAAAACATCTCAGCAATTGTGCTGCGGTACAAAAGACGAGAACATAAAAGTGGCACGCCAACTGAGTACTTATGAAGGGATGGACATCGTTCCGGAGAGTTAACAGCCGGCTATCGTGCCGCAACGAGTTATGTTACGCCTAACGAATCCTATGGTGATTGGAGAGAAAGGCTAAGCGAGAGGCGGACGGATAAAGGAACTCACAACACAAACATCACTGGGACCGACTGCTAACCATATTAGCAAGCGTGTTTAAGCAAACGTGTTCATAGTCCTTAGGACCTCCTCCAGTCAGTCAGGATGCAACAAATGATGCCAGTTCGCAATGAGGGTTTTCATTCCTTTCAACCAGGTCATGGCTTGGCCTCTCCTCCTTCTCTTCCAACCGCACCTCCGGCGCGCAACAATGCCCGTCGCAGAACTCGGTGTGCTGGCTTGCGCAACACATGGCCTAACAATCGGAGCCTGGTGCCTGATGTAATGATGCTGTGCGGTCCACTCGTTCTTCCTGCACCCAACATGCGACACCTAACCCGCTCGTTGCTCACGCGGTGTTCCAACCAGACATGAACTAAGCTGCGAATGCAGCGATAATCAAATGTGACAATCCTCTTTATGTCTGTCGACCTAATGCGCCAGTTTTCATAACTGTACAGGAGGATTGAACGGACGGCTGCGTTACATTTTCGGACCTTCAGGGCGAGAGTAATGTTGTGTACGCACCACAGATATCGGTGATTCGCAAAAGCACTATGAGTTGTTGCTATACGGTTCGTAACCTCAGCTTTGATCCATTTGCGCGCTAATATAGCTGCACGGATACCTTAATTACTGAAAGACTTTTAGCAGATCACCAACAAGCTTTGGCGCAGAGATGGGTCAATGCCAATTTTGGAGAAGTATTTTGCATTTGGATGGAGCAAAGCATAGTCCAAAACCCTTGACTGCTAGTGCTAGTCGGTCCAGTGCTGCTTGACATGTTTGGGAGCTGTCACCAATCAGGGCAATGTCGACCGCGTATTTAAGTCAAGAAGTCGCTCACCAAGAACTAGCTCCACACCTTCTAGGTCGTGTCCAGCGAACGCTGTTTCCATGACTTCATTAATAGCAAAGTTGAAGTGGAGAGGTGACAGCGGGTGACCTTGTATCACACCGATGGTGATATGGAAGGGTGGGGACAGTTTGCCCTAAACCCTCACTCTGCCCGAACTATGCGCGTACAGCGTTTGATAATGTTTATATATTTCTTAGGCACACCTTTCCTAAGCAGACTGTCCCGAAGAGTACGTCAACCGACTGAGTCTAAGGCATCTTTTTTGTCAAGAACCACGACAACGGTGACTCGCCAATACACATGGCGGTGTTCCAACAATTGACGCTAGGTAAAGATGTGGTCCATGCAGCCCCGACCTCGACGAAACCCGGCTTGGTCTTCACAAATCTGGCTTCCACGAGTGCCAGTCAGTTTGTGGAGAATGACAGACGCAAGCAATCTAGAGTCAATTAAAATCAGACCGATCCCTCTATGATTGCTGCATTCCAAACGGGAACCTCGCTTGTAAATGAGGACTAGGACGGAGTGGCTCCATTCTGTCAGGACAGTCTCCTGCTCTCAAAGTTTCACTAGTAACTCTTGTAAACCGCCTATTAAAGCAGGACCCCCGAATTTGAATAAGGCTAGTGGAATGATACCTGCCCCTGCGGCTTTATGCAATTTTAACAGCCTGATCTCATGTTCGCCTTTTGCGCTTGGGAGCGGATCCAAGAAAGAAGGGCGCTCGACGCCTGAAGAAATAAAACGATAACTCAGGTTGGTTAAATTGCTTTGGAAAGTGTTCGGCCCAACGCTGTAAGCATTTCGACACGCCGTGGATCAACCGCCCATTCGCGTCGCATATGGTCTCGCCAATACCAGGTCTCCTGCTGCCTGTTTCTCGTACCAGACGGAATAACTTACGATGCACGCCAACGGTAGCGGCTGCTTCCATCTCAGAGTCACGATGAGACCATCAGGCTTCGCGGTATTTCTTCAGGATAGCACGTAGTTTTATCCTGAGATTTTTGTGAGCCTTATTGTATCCGCTTCCAGCCGGAATACGTCGGCCAGCATCCGTTAGTTCCATAGACTATGTAGAGACCCAATGTCCAGTTTGGCAATTTGAGTTGCCACGTGAAGACATGTCTGCTGATAGTAACGTCTGGCAAATATGCGACCAGTGATCTTCCACGGTGTTCAGTGAGCGCCTAGTCAGCCCGGATGTCAGCACACTTTGATACAAATTCAGAACACCTAGTTTGGCCAGCTGGCTGTTTCAATCCATTCACCTCGACAACGCGGATGTCCACCGAAGAGCACCCGGAGGTCGGCGCAGACAAGTGCGTGGTAAGAGTGCGCGCTCGTGCTCCAAATCCAGCAACAGTTTTGAACACAGCCTCTCCAGCGGTAACTGATCGCAATATCATCGATTTGCGTCCATGGCTGGCACGAGGCTGGTGGCCGCCAAGTCACGCTAATGCGGGTGCTGCGTCGCAAATTTGTGCTCACGAGAAAGAGACGAGTATTTTCGCACATTTGTGGCAATCGCTCACGGTTATCGTGACAGCAGCCTACACCTTGTTGGCCGCCAAGATGAAGCTCATCAGAGGACAACAGCCGAGTTGGACTTTTAGATCGCCAGCCAACACCACAGTATCCGTGTTGCTTCTGTAACAAAGGAGAAGGTGAATTCGCTGATTTAGATCATCTTTCACCGAACCCGTGCTACAGTTTGTAGGGACGTAGGCCGCAATGACAAACAGACACCGTTTGTCCCCGCGCGACTTCGTAGCATGGAACGAACCAGCTAATCTAACGGCGCACATCCGACTGTTCACTGGGATCCGATCTATCAGGTCAGCTTCAGATCGGGAAAGCAAAACAATGCTGACGCCAGCTTGACTGGCATTTGAAGCTGTATCATCGCCAGACAGGCACAATGAGAATGTGCAGTCAGTGTAGCATGTGGGGAATCGCACGGTAACCACGGAGCTGGAAACTTGCAGGTGGGTTTCTGATAAACAGTAAATATTGATCGATGTTGTCTCTACTATATGGACAAGTGCTGCCTGTTGGCCAATCTGCAGCAAAGTGCGCACGTTGAGGCATGCCAGTCTTAGTGATGCGCGAGGACGCCAAACGGAAACGGGTGTTTGCTTGGTTGAACATGGACTTGTCGACTGGATTGGAGGGACTCCATGCGACTGTGCGTGAGTTGAAACCGGACAACAAGTGACCATTGAAGCAAGGTATGGGGAGATCTAAGAATTGGGGGATGGTAAATAAGGGGATAAAAGTAAATTTGGGGTGGGATGATAAGGATGAAAAAGCGCAAAAAGGGAATCAAAAGACGGGAAGGCCTGAGCAGTGGAATTAAATCCGCTATCTACCCTGCTCGATGCAGCAGATAGAGCGCTGTTGACTATCCTCTGCGACGGCCAGCGCATCAAGAAGTTGTTAAAGGTTCATTGTGTTGCGTGGGCAGAATACTGTCAGATTGCCTAGGCCTAGACAGGGGAACGATTAGGGTACTCAACCAAAGTCTTTGGTATAAATACGATCTCGCAAGGCAGCGGAGATTTGGCATTGGACTACAGGGATCCCGTTTTATGAAATAGGAAGCCACCATTATTCCAACCCTCAACCTGGAGGACCAGGAGGCTGAGTTTGTCTGGTCTGTAACCATTGAGCAATCTGGTATGAGTGCCTTTGAGGGTGCAAAAATGCAC